CCTGGATGGGCCAGGTGTTCCTTGCCCTCATTCTGGTAAACCCACAACCTTCCAGTGTGGGCTTTATGGCCATCATGAACATGTCACAGTGCTGCAGAGATTTTGTTTATGGCCAGTTTTGGGCCAGTTTAATGGCCAGATTTGGGGCGGGGGGAGCTGTTCCCAACATGTTCCCCTTATTTGATTTGCAAAGCAATAAAAGCAAAGGCAGCTTTGTCACGGTGAGCTACTTCTTGCAGGAGTCAGGATCCACATCTGCAGACTATACAAAGACAACACAGATTAAAAGCACAATCATCGTTGAAATCACAGCGCTTCCAAGTGTTTTTATCCATTTTAATGGGTTACTAGCTGCTAATCTGTCTGCAGCTCCTTCTAGCACTCCAGTTCCTGGCATTAAGGTCAGGTGCGCCTGGGATGCTTTAAATATTTGTTCTTTTAATTTTGCAATATCCAAAAACAAGTTTGTAGAGTGTCCCTCTAGATGCTTTTTTGGTCTTTCCCAAATTTTGATCTTATTAAGAGCTATTAATAGTTTCCACAAATCCTTATGTTTAGCTCCTACAACGGGCCATATCATTTGAGGTTGAGGTGCCGCTATACCGCCATGGTTCCAGATAATGGGAACTTTTGCCATACTTCTTATCATTTCTACCCTCTGACCATTTTGTTCAGATCAGCTGAACATAGTGTGGCCGAGGCACACAGACTGAGAGGTGCAGTTCAAGCTAAACATCCCCTTGGGGGACCAATTAATAATGATTCCATAGGAATCGGTGTGCAGCACCTCTGCCTGTTCTGCATATCCCTGTCAGCTTTTTTGTCAAAGCCATTTCACAAGTCTCTAGGAAGTTCCAAACTGTCCCACATTTTCCCATCTTTTTCTGAGCCTTGAGTTCCAGCCTCTGCCTGTTACCCAGTTCCAAAGTTGCTTCCACATTTTCAGATATCTTTTCAGCAGCACCCCACTCTACTGGTACCAGTTGACTTTATTAGTCCATTTTCATGCTGCTGGTAAAGACATACCCAAGATGAGGCAATTTACAAAAGAAAGAGGTTTATTGGACTTATAACTCCACGTGGCTGGGGAGGCCTCATAGTCATGGCAGAAGGTGAAAGGCACATCTCACATGGTGGCAGACGAGAGAGCTTGTACAGAGAAACTCCAGTTGTTTAAACCGTCAGATCTTGTGAGACTATCACGAGAACAGCACAGGAAAGACGTGCCCCCATGATTCAATTACCTCCTACCACGTTCCTCCCACAAAACATGGGAATCATGGGAGTTACGATTCAAGATGAGATTTGAATGGGGACACAGCCAGACCATATCAGATAGTTTGAAAGTAATAGTTTCTGCCTTTTAGCAGCAGTCTTTAGGGATTTGCTCTGTTGTATTAACCAGAAGAACCTGGGAGCACTGATTCCACACCAGGTCTGGGGACAGGCAGAGGTGGAGACCAGAGCTTTCCTGGAGATTGTCAGGCCTCTCATCACCCCTGTCTCTCCTGGCACAGATGGGAAAACACGGGTCTCCTGGGCTGGCGGGAAGATCCAAGAAGTCAGAGTCACCACGGGGAAGTGGGAAGGAGGTCTGCAGGAACTGTGAGGTTTTGGTTTACCAAAGAAAGTATGGACCTCCCAGGCTGAGGAAGGCTGTCCTAGATGATGTGGTGATGGTCTGTGATGGCCCATGCTGTCCCACACTTCAGCACAGTAAGAGGTGGGGAGGCCGCACTATCCACTGGCACAGGGCCTTGTCAACTGGGTTCTCCCCTCTTGTTGCAGGTTCTGCCTGGAGCACCGACGCCTCAGGAAGAACCAGCAGCTGGCTTGTTCTTCGAAACCTCACTCCCCAGGTGCAGTACGGTGCCCCTGTGTCGCTGAGCATGATCCAAGGAGGGTTCCCTCTTGGCCTCCGATGCAGATGAGGCTGTCTGGTGGGGCGGGATAGTCGGGGATTCTTGGTCAGGGTCCAGAGGTGATGCTGCACGGGAGGAGATGAGCAAGTGCCAGGCTTGGCTCCAGCAGCAGCAGCAGAGGGGGTCCAGGGGTCTCTTTTAACACATGCTCTTGGTGAATTGTTTGTTTACCCACTAGAGGCTGGAAAAGTGTGCTCTGTAAATAGCATTGTTTATCTTACAACTACCCATTCAAGAGTGGTTGGGCCTGGCTGGTCGCAGTAGCTCACGCCTGTAATCCCAGCACTTTGGGAGGTCGAGGCCAGGGATCACCTGAGCCCAAGATTTGGAGACCAGCCTGGGCAACATAGCAAGACCCCATGTGTGTATTTTTATAACATTTTTTAAAAGAGTGGTTTGGCCACGTCAGACTGTGGGGCTAGCCAGTCCCTTCTTGGGACCCAGGCCACACCCACCTACACATCTCCCAAGTCTGTTGTCAGCAGCTAGACCCAGGTGCCTTTTGCAAACCAGGGGCTCTGTGTGATGTGCTCTGGTGAAAGGAGAGCTGAACTCAAAGTGGGGTTTTTCTCCTTCCTCTGATTAGCCTAACTCATAAAATATAACTGAAACATCCAAGATTTTAGTTACACGTTTGGCCACAGAGATACAGAATGTGAACGTTGTAAAATCACATATTATTAAAGCCTTTTAAAGAAAAACATTTTCCTAGTGTTTAGTGTATCCAGTTTCATGTTTTTTCTTTGGAAGGCTGTAGTGAAAGAAATCAGAAGAAAGCTCATTCATGCCTCTGTGCTTCCTCTGTCAGATTGATGGTTCTACACTGCGGACATTGTGTTTGCAACATGGGCCTCTCATCACATTCCACCTGAATCTGACTCAAGGCAATGCCGTGGTCCGGTATAGCTCCAAGGAGGAGGCTGCCAAGGCCCAGAAGTCTCTGCACATGTATGTTTCCTCACAGCCACCTCAGCGCTCCAAGTAGCTCCACATCCCCCAGAGCATTAGGTTAGGGGTGTTGCAGGGGGGTCCTGAGCCGCCATAGCAGCATCCCACAGGCTGGCCACCCTCCCGCTTCTGGAGGCCGGAGGTCTGACACCCAAGATGAAGGTGTGGGCAGGGCTGGTTTCTCCTGAGGCCTCTCTCCTTGGCTGTAGACAGCTGCCCTCTCCCTCTGTTCTTACATGGTCGTCTCTTTGTGCATGTTGGTGCCCTGATACAAGGACACCAGTCATGTTGGACTAGGGCCCACCCATGTGACCTCATCTAACTAACTTAATTACCTCTTTAAAGACCCCATCTCCAAACACAGTTACATGGGGAGGTACTGGGGGTTAGGACTTCAGCAAAGGAATTGGGGGAAGGCGACACAGGTCAGTTCCTCACAGGTATCTTGAGACTTACTGTTTTTTTCTGCTGCTGAGTTGCTGTGTCTACTCCCCTCTGCCTGTGACACATTCCTACACAGGGCCCAGCAGCGGTCCTCACAGCCAACCCTTCACCCTGACGAAAGGTTGCTTTTGATAGAAGTATAAGTAGACCTGATCAGTAACATCACTTGAGACATGGAACCTAGAAATTAGTCATTCCTGTTTTTAGCCCAGGATGCAAATGACAGTGACCCTAAATGAGCCCACATTTAATGGTGTGTTCATGCACTTGAAGATGTACTCTCTGTACCAGTACGGTGTTGCTGCTAGAAGTCTGAACTGAGCAAAACCTTCACAGTCTGGGTTTGGAAATAGCAGTGGCAAAACAGAAGCCACACGATGGCTTCCAGGTAGCCTTTCCCAATACAAAGACAGAAAGCCGGTGCCACGAACTTAGCAGGACTTGGGGTGGCCCTGCTCACGTGCCCCATCTTGCTGTTGCAGGTGCGTCCTGGGAAACACTACCATCCTGGCTGAGTTCGCTGGCGAAGAAGAAGTGAATCGCTTCTTAGCCCAAGGCCAGGCGCTGCCACCCACCTCCAGCTGGCAGTCCAGTAGCGCGTCCAGCCAGCCGCGGCTCAGCGCAGCGGGCAGCTCCCATGGCCTGGTGCGCAGCGACGCTGGCCACTGGAATGCCCCATGCCTGGGTGGCAAGGGGAGCAGTGAGCTGCTGTGGGGCGGGGTGCCCCAGTACTCCAGCAGCCTGTGGGGCCCGCCCAGCGCTGACGACAGCAGGGTGATCGGCAGCCCCACCCCTCTGACCACCCTGCTGCCTGGGGACCTACTCAGCGGGGAGTCCCTGTAGGAGCTGCCATCATCAGCACCAGGAGAGCCGACCCCTCCCGGGACCCCTCCCAGCTGGGCGGCCCCACAGACCCGCTGGAACCCAGCAGCGGCCACCCTTTTGAGTACCTCTGTCCAGGACTGAAGACGAACCTTGGCCGCAGTCCTTGCGAACTGTTCGCAAAACAGTGCGGGCTGCGGTGGGTCAGCGTCACATGCTAATGACAGGATGTTCCTCGTAGCTTTTTATTTTGTGTGTCTTACGTTTGTATAGTGTGTTGTCATTTTGATTTTTTTTTTTTAAAGTATAAAAGCTGCTTAGAATAGTTCTATCATGAAGGGCACTTTTCAGATTGTGGGCTGGAAAGGGTTATTTTATCTGTGGGGGAGGGAGGGAGACGTGAAGCCTATTTAAAATGAGCCTGTGACGATTATGCACATTACCAGAGGCGGCCGGTAATCAGGGCAGAGTCTGGTGTGGACCGCCAGGCGCAGAGCGGCTCCGCGGTAGGAGCTGAGCGGAAGGCGTGGGCTGCGATCTGCTCTCTGTTCCCCTGGATCCGCCTATGCACATTACCCTTGTTTCATTACTTTTTCATGTCATTTTTTTATCCCAAAAAATATTTTTTAAAAGTTAAAAAAAGACATATCAAACATGCAAATACTTGAATCCAGCAGGCCAATAGTGAAATGTGAACACTTTCTAATTCTACACTTCCAGGTTGACATCAGTACACAGAAACAGGCTCTAGGAAAAATTTCTAAGTTCATAGCCTCCGTGTGTGTGTATGTGTGCGTGTTGAAACAGAAGTGTGTGTGTGCGTGTGTGGCGCGTGCTCCTGCACAGCGTGCATTTTCTGTGTTTGTGTGTTTGAAAGCGTGTGAGGATTTAACTGTGGGTTTTCCCTTGTATTCAGTATATGCTTTTTTTTTTTGGCGCATTGGTCAAACGTTTGTTATTATTAGCTTCTAACTTTGCACTGAGTGTCCTCGCCCTTCCTTTAGCTAATCCTATACATTACAGAGAATTCCTAGGACAGGGCTGGCGACAATTCATGTGTAAATGTTTACTCAAGGACTCTGTGACTGCGTTTAAAAAGTACAGTGTATATCTCTGGAGAAATAATATGTATACCTACCTTTAGCAGCTTTTTATTGTGGACTAATGCAAGAAAATTATTACCAGAGTATTGCACCATTTTTCCATTTGGAATATAAAGTTAAAGAGAAAAAAAAAAACTGTTGTTGAACTGTGGCCATAGATACTTGTAAAGAATGGATGGTTCCGTGGAAGGAACAGAAACAAGCACTTGGGCGTGGGTTGTGACTGCTTTTGGGGGAGCCTGGGGTTTGGGCTCCCACCTGTTTACAGACCTTTTTTCTCCTTCAGACTTTAAAATTTTAAAAATTTAAAAAGGAATTAAAAAAAAAAAAAAAAGACTTCCGTCGTAAAGAAACCTATTTTCAGAATGCAGATGCGCTCCTTCAGAGCTCTGGGACGGGACGGCGTTGTTCCCTCGGCCATCGTCGTGGACTCTGTCGATTGCTTTCGCCCCTTCGTCAAGGTGACAGGCGTTGTGGCCACTGTCTTGCACATGCCGGACGCGCTCTCAGGAAAGCCAGGGCTCCCGAGGGCAGCTCCACACCATTTCATGTATTTTTAAACCCAACTCCTAGCACTGAAGATGTTATTTAAAAAAAAAAAAAAACCAACAAAAAAATGAAAAAAAAGAAAAAGAGGAAAAAAAAATCACAAAGAAGAAAAATACCTAATCTCTAATGTGTAGCAGTTACATATTTACCAAATAATGGACTCAAAAGAAATAGATGTTTGAAGAGTGCTTTATATATTAAAAATTGCTTTATGTTTTAAAAATGATCAATGTTTTGATTGTTTTGCAAGGAAGAAAGACAATGGAATAACATACCCTCAAGTATGTTTTAAAATATATATATATGAACATTGTGCTCCCTGCCTGCTTGATCAGGAAACTTGTGCATTACATTTTTTTTAATTAGCTTTTTAATGGTTTTATCAAAACAAAAAAAAAATACAAAAAAAAAAAGTCCTGCAAGATTGCAGATCCACAAAAGCTGGTTTTATAGAGGATCATGAACTATGCACAAACTGGGTTCAAGACTTTTTTTCTCAAGTTTAGTAGGATATTTAGCAAAACCAACCTTCCTCAGAGTGACTGCATCTCATTGCCATTACATGCGTTCTATATATTTGATGGACATACCTGCGTATGTATATCCAATATGTGTGCGTGTGAGCGTGCGTGTGCGTATGTGCACCCGACATACCACTTCCCGTGCTGCCGGCGAGCATTGAGTTGTAGAAAAACTCCTGTTGTTTTAAAATTGGGGATGGAAGTCAAGAATATGTTTGTTTGTTTTTGGGTTTTGTTGGGTTTGTTTGAGGTTTTTTTTGTTTTTCTTTTTTGTTTGTTTTGTTTTGGGGTTTTTTGACCTTTTATTTTGAACTTAGTATGTCTGTAACTCTGAGAGTAAAAAACAAGTTTGTGGCTCTTAATGTTTTCCTCATAGAATGTGATTGTTGAAGAACATGCATCGAAAGTTGCTTTCGAAAGTACAACGCTTTATTGCATCTTAATAAATTGCAATTTTTTTTCTTGGCTGTTCAAAGTAATGTGTTTTTCATTTTTCAAAACAGATACTATGGATGTCTACTTTGCACGCTGCGATGGGGAGAGCTGTCCCGCTGCGTGCGTTCCCTCTATAATTTCCTCAGAGCTCACATACGTACCTCTCTCATGAGTGAACTCAGACTTCCTGTTGTTTTGCTTTATTCTATCATTTGCTTTGTGGTTTTGCTGTAAATATTGAAATCTTAATCGTTGAGAGGCACAACCGAGCTTTCTAGCTCTCCACCCCCGCAGCCCATCCGAGTCTGTTCATCTGGTAACTTCTGTTTGGGACGGCAGCAAGCAGAGGCTGGGGCCCGCCTGCAGTCCTGGCAGAGGAGTGCCACTCACTTTTGCCTAGGGTCCAGTTTGGGCTTAAAAAATATTCAAAGAGAATAATGAGGATTTTTTGTGTTTCCTAGACATTTTATGCATTTATTTTTGTGAAATCACCTTCGCTAACTTTCACCGAGCACTTTGAGCACAGTGGAACTTCGGAAGCAGCACCAGCCTCACCCCAGAATCTCAGTTGGCATAGCTAGAAACTGAGTCCCTTCCTAGGACACTGGCCGTGGCCTTCAGGGTGTCCAGTCAGTGCCACCAGTGTGGCATTGGTGTTGCAGACCGGCCTCTGAAGACAAACCGAGCACCCCGGCGGCCCCTCACTCAAACTAAGCAAAGGTCTTTTTTCTGTCTCCACTCCCTGGGGAAAGGTCAAAGGTGGACCTGCCCACTTTGAGTCAATTCCTTCAAAAAGATGGGACCCGCACCGTGCCACAGGCTGCCCCCTCTCCACCATGGGGAAGGCGGGGTGCTGCTGGCTCTGACCATCCTCTTTTGGAAATTGAGAAGGAAAGCATTGAGTGGGACCTAATCTGGAAAAGAAATTAAAGACCAGAAAAGGAAGCCGGGAATGAAACTCAAGATGCACCTGAACCTGGAAGCGGCAACCCTCGGCTCTGCGCGGAGCCTCAGCAAGAGTTCCTTTTGTGCCTGCGTTACGATGGAGCAAACCGTACCCATGCCTGTGCGCTGGGAGAACAAGGTCAGCGCCCAAGGGCGTGCAAAGGATGTGGCAGGCTTCACGGAGGAGGTGGCATCTGCCCTGGGCCTGGGAGACCAGGTTGGATTTTGACAGACTGGCAACTCGGGGGACAGATGGGGAGCACAGTGTAAGCTAAAGCCCCATGTAGGGACCCCACACAAAGACCTTGTGGGCTTCCAGGGCACCATCTCCACCCATGGGTGGGAAGGAGGCTTAAAGAAAACAGGTTCTTCACCTGCATCTGTGGATATTTTTTTTTATTAATTTTTTTTTTTAAATGACAGGTTCAGAGCTGCCCTTTGTGGTTTGTGTATTTGTTTAATACAGGGTCTCTGTCTCCCAGGCTGGAGTGCAGTGATGTAATCTCAGCTCACTGCAACCTTGACCTCAAGCAGTCTTCTCACCTCAGCCTCCCAAGTAGCTGGGACCACAAGCATGCATGCACCACCTACACTCAGCTCATTTCATTTTTTATTTTTGTAGAGATGGGGTTTCACCGTGTTGTCCAGGCTGGTCTCAAACTGCTGGGAATACAGGCATGAGCCACTGTGCCCAGCCTCCTTTTTTTTTTTTTTTTTTT